ATGTGAGGATAAGCAGGGAACAAGCCCTGATGAGTTTCCCCCTTCCTGGAGCCTCAATCTGACCACGGCTTCCTCACCAGGTTGTTGTGGGGATCAGCCTTGCCCTGGGAAAGCTGATCACTTGCTTTTCCTGGAAGGAGCTCAGTCAGTGAGGACATCATCGCTTCCCACAGGAGGCCACTCAGGCTAACATGGGGTGACAGGCTGAAGATGGTCAAGAAAGGTTCAAAGGAGATAGTGATGGAGCACTCTGGGCCCAGAGGAATGTGTCAAAAGACATGTCTGGAATAACCTTGCCTCAGTCTTTAGCTCTCTTCCTGAAGCGGGATTTACAGATGCCTTTTTCAACCTTGCTGATAATGTTAGGGTTTTCAGAAGTCAGAGCTTTGGGGCGGTGCTTTTTCTTTACCATCCTCAAAGAAGTGGCGCCAGATCAGAAGAGGCTTCCGAACAGAGAACTTTTTTTTTAAATCAAGAGCCCTTGGTGGGCGGTTAGAGGCTGCTCACTCTGCAACGTCCAGCTCTCTGGGGTGCAGAAGTTTCCCCGACCCCCGAAAGGGAGACTCCGTAGACTTCTCACGGAAGCTCCCACGGGCCCCGCTTCTATCCCAGACCGAGCCTCGCGGGAGACCCTACTTTCCGCGCCCTGACCGGGCCTCCTCCCTCCAGCCCGCGCCCCAGCATCCTCGCACCTTGACCGTGTCCAGTGGGTGCCCCACGAACACCAGGCACATGCCTCCAAAGCCGCCGGCCAGCAGGTTCTTGAGCGGGCTAATGGGCTTCGCCTGGTCTGCCATGGTACGTCCGTCAGTCACCGTGCCTGTCGGTTCCCAGGGACCCCGCTCCACTGCCCCAACCGCGGCGCCGGCGCCGCCGACCTTTCACCCACTTTCGGGAGGCAGGGGCATGAGCCCGGGGCAGGTCGGGAGGAGGGCCTAGACCGCCTGCCAGGCCCGGCTTCCGCCGAGGGGAGGTGCTTCCGGCCTCAGCCCGCCTCCATGGGCGTGGCTTAAGGGAGCGGGGCGGGCCCGGACGCCTCGTGGGCGGTGTTTGGGAGTGGCGGCGGGTGGTGGACTTAATCCTCCAGGAAGTCTTCCCGGACTTGAGTGTTTCCTCACTTAAGCTCCCGTTCCTCCACTCACTCTGCAGAAGTCGATTGCGCTCTGCTATGTGACAGGCGCCCTTCCAGGTGCTGGAGGCACAGCTGTTAGCACAGCACATAGGTCCCTGTTCTTGTGGAGCTTACAGGCCGTAACAAAGTGAAAAATACAGAGTGTATCAAGTGTATCAAGTTGTGATAACTGCTATGAAGAAAAATAAATCTGGAAAAAGGATTAGAGAGTATTGGGCAAGGAATTTGCAATTTTCATTAGGTGAGTAAAGGACAGTTTCACTGAGGAGGTGACTGGATTCAAGAACTGAGAAGCTGAGGAAGTGATATACCATAGATATGGGGGGAGGGGGAGAGATCTTCCAGGCAAAAGAAAAGAATACAAAAGCCATGAGATGGCCTGTGCCTGGCCTGTTTGAGGAACCACCTGGAGGCCTTTGTGGCTAGAGCAGAGTTAGGAAGATATGGAGGTAATGTTGGCATATCAAGCAGGGCTTTGTGTGCCACTGTAAGGACATCAGTCTCTCCTCTGAAGTAGATGGAAGCTATTCTGGGGTTCTGAGCAGGGGATTGACATAGTCTGACTTATGAGTTAATAGAATCCCTCTTTCTGCGGGTTGAGAATAGACTACGAAGCAGGGAGCCTTGAGGAGGCTAAAGGTCATGGTCAGAGATGCTGGACTCCATCAGAGCACAGCACAGCAGATGGTGAGACGTGTTTGGTTTCTGGATATATTCTGAAGGAATATATTCTGAAGGAAAAAGTTAAAGGAATTTTTTTTGTGTTTTTTTTAAATTTACTTTTACTTATTTATTTTTGGATGCGTTGGGTCTTCGTTATGGTGGACGGGCTTCTCATAGTGGTGGCTTCTCTTGTTGTGGAGCATAGGCTGTAGGAGCGTGGGCTTCAGTAGTTGTGGCTCACGGGCTGTAGAGCACAGGCTCAGTAGATGTGGCGCATGGGCTTAGTTGCTCTGCGGCATGTGGGATCTTCCTGAACCAGGGCTCGAACCCATGTCCCCTGCATTGGCAGGCAGATTCTTAACCACTGCGTCACCAGGGAAGCCCAGGAATTGTTAATGAACAGAATATAAGGTACATAAAAGAGGAGTTAAGGATGATGCTAATGTTTTTGACTTATTGACTCTAGGTGGACGGTATTCAGGTATTCACTATGTTACTCTTTCATCATTTCTGTATGTTTGTAATTTATCAAATTAAAAAGCTGTGAACAGGGCTTCCCTGATGGTGCAGTGGTTGGGAATCTGCCTGCCAATGCAGGGGACACGGGTTTCAGCTCTGGTCCAGGAAGATCCCACGTACTGTGGAGCAACTAAACCTGTGCACAGCAACTACTGAGCCTGCGCTCTAAAGCCTGCGAGCCACAACTACTGAGCCCACGTGCCACAACTGCTGAAGCCTGCACGCCTAGAGTCCATGCTCCCCAACAAGAGAAGCCACCGCAATGAGAAGCCCGCACACCACAATGAAGAGTAGCCTCCACTCACTGCAACTAGAGAAAGCCCGCGGCTAACAACAAAGACCCAAAACAGCCAAAAGTAAATAAATAAATAAATTTATATTAAAAAAAGCTGTGAACAATAAACATACCCCTATCTACAGCAGGAACCTCACTGCCAAGCTAACCTGACAACAGTCCTCCTCTGTAGGCACTCCCAAGCTAGCAGGAAGCCTAGAATAGGGAGAATGGACCATGTATGCTAGGGGTGGAAAGATTAGTGACAGGATCGGGATTGGGATCAGGAAGTGAGTGGGCCTGACTGGTGCAGAAGGCACCAGGGGAGTGGGAGGGGAGTGGAAGGGGAGTGGAAGGCAATGAGGCTGGGGCAAGGCCCAAAAGCCTGTATACTCTGTGTTACAGGCTTTTTCTAGATGGGGATGGGGAACCATGGAAGAATTTTAAGCACAGTGTTGACATGATCAGGTTTGTTTTAGAAAATCTATTTTGGATGGATGAATTTGTCTTGGGAGAGAGTGGAAGCAGGGAGACCAGTTAAGGGAAAATTACAGTGGTGCAACGAGAGGCAGTAAAGGCATTAACTGAGCCTGGTGCTCATCGCTGGATTGGCGATGGTAATGGGACCATGTTTATTTCACTTGTGACTTGTAGCACTCCGGCTGCAGAAGAGGATCTAATTTAGAGTCAATCTGCAGCTTCTGGAAGAGATGGTGTTTGTTATAGAACCGCCCTCCTGATAAACCCTCCTGGTAAACCTGGTAAATCCTCCTGGTAAACCTAGACACACCTGAATGTGGACTCCACTGAAGCTCACCAGCTTCTATTAAATCCTCATAGGGTAACTGATAATCCACTAAACAAATGGTCTTCCTGCTTCTTCATCTGATAAGCCTTACACACTCAACTGAATGGGCTTCCCTGGTGGCGTAGTGGTTGAGAGTCTGCCTGCCGATGCAGGGGACGCGGGTTCATGTCCCAGTCCGGGAAGATCCCACCTACCGCGGAGCAGCTGGGCCCATGGGCCTGTGCATCCAGAGCCTGTGCTCCACAATGGGAGAGGCCACAACAGTGAGGGGCCCACGTACTGCAAAAAGAAAAGAAAAGAAAGCTCATCTGAAATTTAATCTGTGTCATTCCCTGGCCAAAAAACCTCTTCAGCTCCTCATTGCATCAGAATAAAATATAAGTGGCTCAGGGGCAGTGAAGGTTTTTCACAATTTCATGCAACCTTACTTCTTCAACCTTATTTTTCCCTAGACTGTATCTGCCTCTCTGAGCAAACTGAGCTTCTACTGGTTTAGCACACAGACCTGTTACTTAACTCACCTTCCACCACTGACAGCCAGGCTTTTACATATCCTGTCTCCTTCAGCACAGAGTATCCTTCCTCTCCCCACTCCATAACACACTGATGCAGGAGATGGATACCAAGTTGCTCATATGCTAGACATTGTCCAACCTGTGGTTCTTAGCAATTTGGGGGGTGGAGAATTCCTGGCACCCTCTCCCCAGAAAAACGTACACATGCATATGCACCTCCAGGTTTGCTATAAATTTCATGAGAACCTGAAGCTATCCTTGGACCTCATATTAGAAGCCTTGTTCCTAGACCATGGGAATCAAACATGAATGAGAGGGGCCTCCCCTTCGGTCACACCCTTCCCAAGACAGCCCACACCCAGTGACTGAACAAGGTAGGGATTTAATGCCTGACCAGTCTGCTCTGGTATCAGATACTCTGACAGGCAATATTCACTCCAGTGTTCTCTGCTAGGTTGGTGGCAGCTTCATTGGGCCTGCAACACAGTTTAACTTCTGCCTTTGCCTAATTCTGCTTCCCGGGCTTCTCTGGTGGTGCAGTGGTTAAGAATCCGCCTGCTTGGGCTTCCCTGGTGGCACAGTGGTTAAGAATCCGCCTGCCAGTGCAGGGGATACGGGTTCAAGCCCTGGTCTGGGAAGATCCCACACGCTGCAGAGCAACTAAGCCTGTGCGCCACAACGACTGAGCCTGCACTCTAGAGCCTGTGAGCCACCACTACTGAAGCCCTGTGCCACAACTACTGCAGCCCATGCGCCTAGAGCCTGTGCTCCGCAACAAGAGAAGCCACCGCAATGAGAAGCCCACACACCGCAACAGAAAGCCCGCACGCAACAGCGAAGATCCAACACAGCCAAAAAATAAATAAACAAAATAAATATATAAATCTGCTTCACTTTACTTATGTTGGTCCCTAATAAATATCTTGCTCCCCAAACTCCATCTCAATATTTGCTTCCAGAAAGTCCAACCTACAACAATAGTATTCAACATCATTCCTTACCAAAAACAAAATAAAACCCAAAGCAAAAGAACATAAAACTGTAAACTTAAGATTTGAAGTAGTCCGCTTGGCTGCCTATAGCAGAGAATTGAAGAGAAAACTCCTAAGGGCGCTCCGTTGTCTTCTCCGGGAGTGACAACGCTGCTTTCCCAGTTGAACCCCGTCCTCCTTTGCAATCCACTGAGGGCTGCAATGAGCATCGCTTATCCTTTGGAGCCCTCTGCCAGGAAGAGCCAGTTTTGTGTGCCCCTGGTGCCTGGCCATTCCCATCCAGGCTGAATTCTCCAGAGTTCCCCAACCAGGGATCAAACCTGGGCCCTCAACAGTGAAAGTGCAGAGTCCTAACCATTGGACTGCCAGAGAATTTCCCACACATGCACAGATTCTTGTAAGCTCCACACAAACAGGATATATAACAATCCTCAAACTCCTGCCAAATTCCTTCTTACTGTGCAGGAGGTAGTCACTCTCCTCTCACAATTAAGCCTGAGTAAGTACCTAGGAACCAGATGTGATAGGTGTATGTTTAACTGCCAAATGTTTCCAGAAGAGCTGTTCTAGTCTGCATTACCACTAGATATAATGTTAGAGCCGTGTAGCTGACAGGGTCTTGGTGCTCCAGCCGGGTGTCAGGCCTGAGCCTTGGAGGTGGGAGAGCTGAGTTCAGGACACTGGACCACCAGGCACCTCCAGGCCCCATGTAATATCAACTGGCGAGAGCTCTCCCAGAGATCTTCATCTCAATGCTAAGACCCAGCTTCACTCAAGGACCAGCAAGTTCTAGTGCTGGACACCCCATGCCAAATAACTAGCAAGACAGGAACACAACCCCACCCATTAGCAGAGAGGTGCCTAAAATCATAATAAGCTTACAGACACCCCAAAACTCACCACCAGACTTGATCCTGGCCACCAGAAAGACAAGATCCAGCCTCATGAACCAGAACATAGGCACCAGTCTGCTCCACC